ATATTATAAAATAGATTGTACATTAATATGTTAATTATTATTTTATTTTATTTTTGTTGAAAACAAAGTTCTAATCCAACTGAGGTGAGAAAATGACATTTGATGAGTCTTCTCAAATGAGTGAGGAACCAGCCTTCACGTAGTGTGGAGAGCTGCTCCTTCTTGTCAGTATAATGAAGAGATGAACAGTGAAGTTTTATTTGAGTTCATGGTTTTTGAGGTTCTAATCCATGACTGACCAAGCCATTGCTTGGGTCTCTGGTAGGGGAACCAGATGGTTATGATGGAGAATAATTGGTAAAGGAAATTGCTGGCCTCATGGCCAGGGAACATTTGAAAAAAGAAGGGCGAGGGGCTGGAGAGATGGCTAAGCGGTTAAGAGCACTTACGATTCTTCCAGAGGACCCAGGTTCAGTTCAACACCAACATAGCAGCTAACACCTGTCTCTAACTCCAGTTCCAGAGGAGCCAATGCCCTCTTCTGGCCTCCATGGATACTAGACATGCACATGGTACACTTACATACATGTAGCCAAAACACTCATGCACATAAAATAAAAATAAATAAGACCTTTTTTATAAAGTAAAAGAAAATGAGAGAGGAACTGGGGAGCATGGCACGGTGCCACGATGCCCTGTTTACATGGTATTGAGGGTTGAACCTAGGGCTTTGTGAATTGTTTTGTTTTGAGAGAGGATCTTCCAGCACCAGGGAGAGACAGGCAGGAAGACTGCAAATTTGAAGCCTAGTATACCTAAGACTCTGTCTCCACATTGTCTGAACCATTTGCCAAGTAAACTACTTGCACTTGGGAGAGAGAGGGGGAGAGAGAGAGAGAGAGAGAGAGAGAGAGAGAGAGAGAGAGATGATGGCACTTATCTTTAATCCCAGCACTTGGGAGGCAGAGGCAGGAGGATATGTTTGCGTTTGAGGCCAACCTGGCCTTACATAGTGTCCCAGGCCAGCCAGAGCTACATAGTGAGACCATGTCTCAAAAAATAAAATGGAGACTGGAGAGATGGTTCAGTGGTTAAGAGCACTGACGTGAGTTTGGTTCCCACCACCACATGGCAGTTAACAACCACACATAACTCCAGTTCCAGGGAATCTGATGCCCTCTTCTGACCTTCAAGAGTATTACACCACAAAGGGGCACTTATATACATGCAGGCAGTACACTCATACACATAAAATAAAATAAAAATAATAAAAATAAATAAATAAATAAATAAAAAGGGAGAAAAAAGAAGGAAAATACCCAAGAAGAATACCTCAAGACACCAACAGGGAGAAAGGCTGGCATCTCACAACCCCTCTGAGGGTATGTGCCCAATGACCTAACTTCCACTAGGCTCCATTTCCTAAAAGCCTTAATACTTCCCAATAGTGCCACTCTCTAGGGACTAAGACCTTAACTAGACATGGGCCTTTGGAGGATGGGGCTCTATTATAATTGAGCGCATTGAAGAGGAGGGGCTAGCACAGGCTCTTCTATGATGAACACTCCTGCCCCTAAGTGAGGAGGCCAGGGAAAACTCAAAAACCCAAGTGCTACTTGCTATTTTTTCAGCCTCAAACTCACTACATAGATGAGGATGACCTTGAACTTCTGGTCTTCCTTCCTCCACCTCCCAAGGCCTAGGGTTACAAGCCTGTACCACGATGCCCTGTTTACATGGTATTGGGGGTTGGACCTAGGGCTTTGTGCATGCTAGGCAAGCATTCTACCAATTGAGTCATATCCCCTGCCTTTTTTTTTTTTTTTCAGAGTGTTTGTTGTTTGTTTTGTTTCAAGAGAGTATCTCATACTATATTCCAGGCTGGCCTCAAACTCATACCAATCTTCCTGCTTCCATGAGTGCTGCAAGACCCACCATGCCCGTTCTTAGTGCCACTTGTTGCCTTGGTTTATTATCTATCAGGAGCATACACCATCCACCTTCCAGCTCCTGGTCCTCAGACAGTGACATCAGCATTCAGGTCTCCTCACTCTGCCTTGTGAATGCACACAGGAGTGTAGGTGCTGGAAGAAGCCAGAAGAGGGCAGCAGAGGTCCTGGAGCTGGAGTTATAGGTGGTTGTGAGATGTCAGATGTGGGTACTGGGACCTGAACTTGGATCATCTGTAAGAGCAGAAAGGCCTGCCATCTCTCCAGTTCCCTGTGGCTGATTTCTTGAGTCAGAGCCAAATTTTCTGTCTTATGATGAGGAAGAATGAGAAGTGAGGACCATAGAGGGGAAGACAAGCAAAGTTTATTGAGACATAGTATAGCATCTTTAATGGCAAACACAAGCAGCTACTTAGTTTTATTTTTTATGTATGAGTGTTTTGCCTGCATGTATGTAAGTGCACCACATACATGCAATGCCTATGGAGGCTAGAAGAAGGCATTTGATCTCCTGGAGCTGGAGTTATAGACAATTGTCAGCCTCCATGTAAGTGCCAGGAACCAAACCCAGGTCTTATGGAAGAGTAGCCAGTGCTCTTAACTGCTGAGCCATCACTCTAGCCACCTAAGTAGCATTTTTGGAGGCAGGGTCAGGGGAACAGGGATAATATCCTGAGAAATGGACCAATTTTGTCTCTTCCACATGTAAATTAGACACTGAGTTGGGACATATCTGGTTGGTTAATTTGAATGCATGTGGAGAATTCTGGTTGGTTGATTGATTGGGTGAAAGTACACAGCTTCAGAAAAGTCTTCTGAGGGCAGACAGAGAAGCCCATCAGAAAGTTCCAAGGATAGGGAGAAATTAGGAAGTGAAAAAAAAAATCTTGAAGTCAGGGTTTCTTTGGATTTTAGTTATTAGGTTGAGTTTATTGTAAAACAGCAGTGCTCTCAGAGCTGACTGCTGATTCCCCAAGATCATGTAGGCATTTTCTTTTCCTTGGGTCTGTAACTCTGACTACCTACAAAGGAGCCATCTTCTGCCTAAGTCCTACAACATACTGGATGGGAGAAGTGCTTTATCACTGCTAGGCTGCACTTTGGTAACCAAGGAAGGCTTGTGGTTTTTACCACAAGGAACAAGACATGGTGAAGGTCCTGTGCTCTATGGAGGAAGCTGCAATCCCGCAACAGCTTGTACATACAACCTTGTTAGAATTCATTTGCAGGGAATCCAGAAAATATGCCTAAGTCTGAATGATTCAAATTGTAGCCTCTTACAATAGTCTGCCTCTCCCCTTTCCTCCTTTCTGTTTTTTGAGACAGGGTCTTACTATGTACCCATGGCTGACCTGGAACTCACTATGTAGATCCACCTGCCCCTGCCTCCCAAGTGCTGGGATTAAAGGCATGTGCCAACCACCCAGTTTGTTTTTTTTTTTTTTTTTTTTTTTTTTTTTTTTTTTTTTTTTTTTCATGAGACAGAGTCTTCTTATATAAACCAGCCTAGCCTCAAACTCATAGAGATTCACCTGCTTCCGCCTCTAGAGAGCTGGGATCGAAGGCCTGGGATTCCACACTCAGATAAGCTAGACTTGTTAATTGATAATGTGTTTCTTTTTTATTTAATTTTTTTTTTCTCTTAGTCTTTTTTGAGACAGGGTCTCCCTGTAGCCCCAGCTGGCCTGGAACTAGCTATGTAGACCAAGCTGGCCTTGAACTCACAGAGATCCACCTGCCTCTGCTTCCTGAGTGCTAGTTATTGAAACGTTTTAACTATTTTTCAGTTCTGGGCATTTAGCCCAGTCCCTCATGCATGCTAAGTAAGCATGCTACCTCTGAGCCCCCAGTAGTGAGTTTCAGTGCCCCCTCTCATCTTAGTTCTACAGCAGTTTCCAGGCCACTCAGCCCCCACTGGGCCTGGGCTAGGTAGAGGATTGATTATTCCCTCTGGACCTCACTCGTGGAGATTGAGTAGGGTGAACTGGCATGAGATACCTTGGCTCACACCCAGACTTTCAAAATTGAGACTGGAGTCAAGTGATCTGATTTGAGCTCGGGCCAGTGGTGATCAGGTCATAGCTCTGAGAGTTACAAAACCTGTTCTTGGCTGGAGAAAGGCAAGAACAGTATCTCTTCCAGAGATATCAGCTTCCCTCTGCCCCAGTTCTGCACAGTCCAAAGCCTAGGACTTTTCCTACTGCCCAGATCCTCAGACAGGTTCCATTTCTGAAGGGAGATTCAGGTGAGGTTCTCTTTAAAAGGTCACACAGTAGGGCTGTGGTTAACAGCACTGTCTGCTCTTCCAGAGGACCCAGGTTCAATTCCCAGCACCCACATGGTAGATAACAACTGTCCAGGGATCCGATGCTCTCTCTTCTGGCCTCTGTGGACTTTGCCTGTCATGGGTGCACTTACATACATGTAGGCAAAACACTCATACACATAAAATATAAATAAATAAATAAATAAATAAATAAATAGATAAATAATTTAAATAAAACATCAGAGTTCAATGAAACCCCCACTCACCATGCTTAGTAAGTACTTAGCTGTGGATGGGAAAATGTGGGTGAGGATTTCCCCTTGTGATTTTTCAAATAGCTGAGGTTTCTTTGTTTGTGATGGGGTCTTGCAGTATAGCCCAGGCTGGCCTTGAAGTCTCCACCCTCCTGTTTCAGCCTCCCGAGTGCTATGATTGCAGTACCCCACCATACATGGCCTAAGCTGCTGTTGTTGTTTTGTTTTGTTTTATTCCAGCATTGTTATTTGTGATAGTATCCGTGTCCTAGACAGAAGTCTTGTGTGAGGTTTCAACAGTTGGAGCTGGCAGCAAAGAAAATATGGACAGTTCCATGCTATGAGAAGGAACATGTGATAGGGAAATCAAGGTGCTCTTTATCACTTAAGAGATGATTCGGTGGTTAAAAGCACTGATCGCTCAGGGACCCAGGTTCGACTCCCAGTACCCACATGATGACTAGCAACCATCTGTGACTCCAGTTCCAGGGATTCGACGCCTTCTGACCTCCTCGGGCATTACACAACATAGGTGCACTTACATACATGCAGACAATACACTCACACACATAAAATAAAAATAAAATAAAATATTTTAAAAAGAGTGATTTATTGTTGCTAAAATGGCTACATTGTTGGTTTTACATATTTTAAAATATACACTACTGTATCAGAGTATGTCTGCTGTGCTCTTGGCTGAAAACCTACAGGAAAAAGATAAAGAGGTGTTTAGTAAAAGATTGTGAGGCGGTAATAAGACTGGTTAAGGGCTCAGCGGTTAAGAACACTGGCTGCTCTTGTAGAGGACCTGGGTTCGATTCCTGGGATCCACATGGCAGCTAACTGTACCTCCAGTTGCAGGGGATCTGATGCCCTTTTCTAGCCTCTGTGGGTACTCATGACATGAGTGCACTTACGTACATGCAGGCAAAACACTCATACACATAAACTTTTTTTTTTTTTTAAATACTGGTTAAGCCAGGCATGGTGGCACATACCTTTAATCCTAGCACTTGGGAGGCAGAGACAGGAAGATCTCTGTGAGTTCAAGGTCAACCTGATCTACATAGTGAGTTCCAGGTCAGTTGGGGCTACAGGGAGACCCTGTAACAAAAAGACCAAAAAAAAAATTTTTTTTTTAAATATATCTTTTCAACCCCAGTTCTGCTTCACAAAATGGTTAGTCTTGAAATTATTTCTTTTGTCCAAGCCAGGAATCCTAGTTTGACCTAAACTGAGGTTCTTCAAAATCTAGGGAAAGTGTTCAGGCTGCTGCAAGAAACAGTGAGGAGCTGTGCCTCCTGCCTACATCCACAAGACAGGATCTCATGTAGCCCAGGTTGGCTTTGAACTCACTGTGTAGCCAAAGCTGGCCTTGAATTCCTGATCCTCCTGCCTCCACCTTCAGCATCCTGGGATTTCATGAGAGCACCACCATGCCGAAGCCTCCAAAGAGCTTAAATGGCCTCTGCCTGGAGCTTTACCCGCAAGGATAAAAAAAAATCCTTGTTGTCCTCATTTCCTATCCATGATCCTACCGGGTATTTCCAAAAGACAAGCAGCAACAGTGGTAAGCACTGCACCCACCTGGGAGTAGATGTTTTCTTAGCATTTCTTGGCCTGATTGCTATCTGAAGGTGCCTTACTGTGACCTTAGTTGAGCACACAGTTACTCAACTAATCTCCTGGGTAAAGGTTGTATGATACACTAGCAAGGCATGTGACAGCCTTGTGCACAGGAGTACTCTGGAAGTTAGAACCAGTCACTTGTGCGTGCTCACAGATTCTTGGCAAACACTGTGACCGGCACATCTAAGCACAGACCAGCTTTGTAGGGTTCATACCCCACTCACCTCCCTTTCCCAAGGACTGTGAGTCCCTAGCCAGGAGTCACATGGACAAAATGTCCCCAACCTCTGAATGGCCATTGTTCTCAGACAGAGAGAATTTGTAAGTCAATTGTGTAGAATCAAAAGCATGTGCCTAGATAAATAAGCCCATGTGTAATCTTTGTTATTTAGGACAGCCCAAAAGAACTTCTTATGTCCCTGAACAATGGTAACTAAGGACTCATGCCTCCCCACCCTGTAAGGAGAGAGGAGTGTGCCCCAACCCTAGGCCTTGATGTGGCTACCTAGGCCTGGGTGGAGGCCAGAGGGAGAAAGAATGGGTAGCCAGCCCCAGTGGGGGACAGGGAAGCCTCCCAGAATCTGGCTTTCTGCTTAGTCTTCAGAGGACCCCTGGGGTGGGCCTGCTTCCCTTCAGTTTTTTTGCCCTTTGAAGTCTCTAAGGTCTTTGTCCCATAGAGACTGTGGGAGAGAGGGAGGGAGGGAGGGAGGGAGGGAGAGAGAGAGAGATGCCTCCCGAGTGCTGATAAATATGTGTTTTAAAGAGTTCAAGGTCATTCTTGGCTACACAGCAAGTTGTTGGCCAAGAGAGAGAGAAAGAAAGAAAGAAAGAAAGAAGAAAGAAGGGAGGGAGGGAGGAAGGAAAGAAAGAAAGAAAGAAAGAAAGAAAGAAAGAAAGAAAGAAAGAAAGAAAGAAAGAAAGAAAGAAAGTTCTTCTGGCCCTCTCAGGAAAGATCAGGGTCAAAACTGGAAGAAAGGTGAATCTCTGGGATCCAAAAAAACAGGCAAATTTAAATCAACAGCAATTCATTTCTGAATCCCCTCTCAGCTACAGGGAAATGTGTCTTAATTTCTAAAGAAACTCTGCTTGCCTTTCTTTTAAAAATCTACATGAGGGGCTGGAGAGATGGCTGATCTTGCAGAGGACCCAGGTTCGATTCCCAGCACTCATATGGTGGCTAACAACCATCTGTAACTCCAATTCCAGGGAATCTGATGTTCTCTTCTGACCTCCAGAAGCATTGCAGGATATGTGTGCACTTACATACATGCAGGCAATACACTCATACACATTTAAAAAATTTTTTTTAAATTTTTTTTGGTCTTTTTGAGACAGGGTCTCCCTGTAGTCCCAGCTGTCCTGGAACTCACTATGTAGACCAGACTGGCCTTGAGCTCAGAGATCCACCTGCCTCTGCCTCCTCAGTGCTGGGATTAAAAGCATGCACCACCACGGCCAGCCAAAAATAAAATATTTTTAAAAGTCTATATGATTGGGGCTGGGGAGATGGTTCATCGGTTAAGGGCACTGACTGCTCTTGCAGAGGACCCAGGTTCAAATCCCAGCACCCACATGGAGGCTATGAACCGTCCTTAACTCCAGTTCCAGGGGAATCTGAAGCCCTCTTCTGACCTTCACAGCACTGCAAGACAGGGGTGCACTCACATACAAGCAGGCAATACACTCATACACATAAAATAAAAATAATAAATAAAATTAAATTAAAAAGTCTACATAATCAAGATCACATCTCTCACATTTGTGATTTTTCTCAATCATGACATGAGTCTCACAATGTGACATGTGACCAATTTTTATTTACTTTGAGACAGGGTCTCATTCTGTAGCCTAGAGACAGTCAAATATTGTGATAATTCAATACACTCATACACATAAAATAAAAATAATAAATAAAATTAAATTAAAAAGTCTACATAATCAAGATCACATCTCTCACATTTGTGATTTTTCTCAATCATGACATGAGTCTCACAATGTGACATGTGACCAATTTTTATTTACTTTGAGACAGGGTCTCATTCTGTAGCCTAGAGACAGTCAAATATTGTGATAATTCTCCTGCCCCAGTCTAACAAGTACTGGGATTACAGGCATGCACCACCACACTTGGCTTCAATTTTCACATCTTAAAATAAAATAATGTTTCCTGGGGGCTGGGAGAGATGGCTCAGTGATTAAGAGTACTGGCTGCTCTTGCAGAGGACCCAGGTTCAATTCCAAGCACTTACGTGGTGGCTAACAATCATTCGTAACTCCAGTTCCAGGGGAATTTGATGCCCTCTTCTGTCTTCTGCAGGCATTACATGTCAGGGGTGCACTTATATACATGCAGGCAATATACTCATACACAAAAAATAAAAATAATAAATAAAATATTTTTAAAAATAATGTTTCTTAAGGGCTGGAGAGATGGCTCAAAAGTTAAGAGTGTGCTTATTGTTCTTCCAAAGGACCCAGCTTTGGTTCTCAGCACTCATACTGCCTGGGTCATAACTGCCTGTAACTCCAGCTCCAAGAGGGTCTGTAATATGGCACCTTCTTTACCATAGCTACACCATGTTGAGGTTTAGGCTGACTCTAACCTTTAAAATTATCAGGCAGTTGGCCCAGGGTATGGGAACACACGTCAGCTAGATCCCAGGTTATCTTGGGAACAGGTCAGCGTGTTCTGCAGGACACCTGCTAACTGCAGATTTATGGCTTCTGTAGATTATGCTTGGCTTGCTTCTGCAAAATAGTAATTGTTACTTAATAGAACAGAAATTGTTAAGGGGGCTTTCCACCTGTAAGCTTAGGAACTTACACTTTTCACCTCAGTTATGGTTTCTCTATATAAAAGCTTACCCTAGAGAGTAAGTATAAAAACTTACCCCAGCTTACCTAACAACTCAGAGCTGCACTTGGGTTCTAACACCCTTGTGTAGTCACTGGCAAGCTAATAAAAGACTTTCGTTTGGCAAAACTTTGTCTGAATATTCTTCTCTGGTGAAGCACCTCACAAAGAGATCTATCATCCTCTTCTGGCCCCTCAGGCACCCACATACACATGGTAGACACTCACACAGACATACACACATATACACATGAATACAATTTTCTTTTCTTTTTTTTATTTAATAACCACATGATTAGAAGCAGCATTTCGTTACAGCTTTAACATATTCAGTAACAATTTCCAGAGCAAGGATACATCTCTTTCAAAAGTGGCTGTAAATTTTTAGGTTCACAGTTGAATACAGTTATACAATATTGAACTCAGTATAAACCCTGTAAGACATAAAATTGAAGGAGTTTTTAACCTTTAAAGAAGATCTCCATTTCATTTTAAAATATGCTGTTTCTTACATTTTTAATGCTACTAATGCTTAGATGTTTGCACATGTGTCTTTAATCTCTATGTGTCTGATTATTACTAGTCACAGTCGGGTACACTCAGATCCTTGGCACCTGAGTATGGATATAAAGTCATCAGGTAGATTTCACTGGTAATGTTTATCACCTCTACTAATTAACATGAAGTAAATTTTTATGCTTCCTTCTCAAATATGTCTTTTAAAATTTTTTGATTTTTTTTGTGTGTATATCATACAGAACAGCCCAAACAATCTTATTCATCTATATACCCATTTTACAAATGGCACTCTCCCATAGTCTCCCTGCCATGAATACAATTTTAATTATTTGCTATTTTTTTATCTTATTTTATATCTTGGTCTTTTTGAGACAGGATCTCCCTGGAGCCCCAGCTGGCCTGGAACGCACTACGCAGACCAGGCTGGCCTTGAACTCAGATCTACTTGCCGCTGCCTCCCGAGTGCTGGGATTAAAAGCATATGTCACCACAACTGGCAAAAATAAACTTTAAGATAATGTTTCCTGTGCTAAGGATGTGCTTGATGGTAGAGCACTGGCCTAGCACACTGGAGGTCCTGAGTTCCACCTTTAGCACTTCAAAAACCAATCAAACAAATCAATCATATGTTCTTTACTGTTGACTTTGATAAGAGATCAATATATCTACACTGCTCTGGTTTTCTTTCTTTTTATTTTTCTTCTTTTTTGTTGTTCTAGGGATCAAAACTTGAAATCTCAAGTATTTTACTTGAACAATACCGCAGCCCAGTGTTTCCATTTTTTTTAAAGGCTTATATTTTGGAAAAGGTGTTCATATCTGCTCTCTTGAGACAGGACACTAGGTAGCTATAGATAGGTACCAGCAGGCTTAGAGGCAATGAGGATGAATTCCCTTTCCTCATAATCAGCTTTGGATCATCTCCTGTTTTCCTGGTAGCATTCAAGGTTTAAACTTTATGAGGACTTTATGAGGACTGGTGAGATGGCTCAATGGGTAAAAGTCCTTGCCACATGAGCTTAATGACCTGAGTTCCACCTTTGGAAGGAAAGAACCAACTCCACAAAGTTGTCCTCTGTCCTCCATATGCATGTCATGGCACACACGGACACACACACAAATAAATTTAATAAAATACCTTATGAAAAGGAAGATGTATGTATTGATGTAAATATATAAAGATAGGGCATTAAACCAGGTGTGGTACTGCACTCCTTTAATCCCAGCACTCCAGGCAGAGGCAGGCAGATCTCTGTATGATCAGGGCCAGCCTGGTCTACATAGTGAGTTCCAGGCCAGCTAGGGCTACAGGGAGACCCTGTCTCAAAAATGACCAAAAATTAAAAAATAAAGATAGGGCTATAAAGGTATACATAAACACACACACACACACACACACACACACACACACACACACAACACAGAGGTAATAAAGATAGGGAAAAATTAAGAGAAGATGTGAGAAAGGAAAGGAGAGCTCTTAACTGGATCCTCTTTGTTAGGGAAGGAGGAATTTACTGTTTGTTTGAAT